CTTAAAAGGTTGTGATAATCAGGTCACCTGCTGGCTCTTCCCCTAGATACTATTGGCACCGATGACTGATTGTGTAATACAAAAGTGTGTTACCAATGGGTCTTAAAAAGCAAACTTTATAATGCAAACACACGCACCCAAACAAATTCAAGAATAGTTTATATATAAACTATTCTTGGATGAGCTGTATACAGTTCTTGAGCTCACCTTTATACTTCATAGCTTCAGGTGGTTTTCAGACAACTACATCAGCCAACTCAATTATTGTGCTGTATTCACGTTGCCAAGTTTAAGGTATAAAAATTAAATTACCAAAGATAACTCTAAGTTCATTTTGTTTTTTATCCTTTTATGCCTTCAAATTATCACCATCATCATTATTTTTGTACATTTAATTTGTCAGAGTAGAAAATAGATCACATACAATTTTCACTTGAGTGACATTTTCACTTCATTTGCAAGTTATAATTTTAGATTAGGGAACTTCATTAATTGAAAATCTCAAAAAAAGTGACTTCCGCTATTACCGTTAGTTATATATGTGACTCTGTTTATGTTGCATGACTGTTTGATTGTTTGGATAAATTAATTAAATGTTTATGATTGATTTTACTCCATTAATATAACTAATGACTCCTCCTGTCTGGAAGCAGAGGACTTATTCAAGATCTAAAACAATAGTACTACATTACGGGAAACGTGCTTATTCGTAGTCTTGCAAGTTACAAGAGAAGATACAACTCTTGTACTCATGGACTTATAAATTTATAAAGTCCTGTTAAAAACAGAAGCACTGAAGTTCAGGATTTTGTTCTGGAATTTGGTAAAAAATAAATAAATAAATAAAATAAAAAGTCCAGTACATCAAGTATAAATTTATAATTCAAGTGTTTGGATTTGAGGACATATTGTAAGATTTCTTTTTGATATAATCAGCAGTGGACAGCTGTCAACGTTTAAAACAAATTATCAGTAGAAGCTGGTTGGCAGCTGTTGACGCTAGGTGGAGACAGATACCATCAATCAGTAGCGGTTTTTGATACGGGTGACACGGGCGGTTGCCCGGGGCGGCATCACGGGCATCGGCAAAAAAATAAAATAAAATTGCTCGTACTCATGCTGCCCCAACATCATGCCAGCGCATATTGGGAATGGCATAGGCACCGATCGGTTTTCTATCGCCCATTTGCTGGGAGTAAGGGTGCCCTCCGTTTGCGAGG